TACTTTGAACTGATAGAGCCCGTCGGGAGTTATAAATGCCATCTTTTCACGGTCCAGGTCATCAACTGATATCTGCCAGTACCCGGAACGAAGGTCGATGGAAGAGAAATAATTTGCGCCACTAAGGCAGTCAAGAGCGTCGTCTATCCGCGGCAGAGGATACACGTCTTTTTTCGTAACCTTGTTAAGATTTCTGTAGTCGACACAGAAGCGCCAGCTGTTATCCTTCTTTCTCACAAGCACAACGGGCGAAGCCCAAGGACTTGAAGAAGGTTCAATGATGTCTCGGGCAAGCATCTTGTCGACTTCTTGCTGGATCACGTGGCGCTCGGTGGAGGAAACTCGATAGGGTCGCCGGTGTACTGGATTTGCATCACCGGTGTTGATCCGATGTTTTACGACGGTCGTTTGACCTAGGGGTCGGTCGCAGAGATCAAATACGTCCTCATACGACGCAAGAAGGCCACGAAGCGCAGACACATGCTCGGCCGGGAGATCAGAGGCAATCATTCCAGTTATGCAGTCTAGTGTACTGCGCGACTGAATACTTGTAGATGACGGTGTATCCTCTGTTAAGGCCGATATGTGGAAGTCGCCGGCCGGGGCAAGGGTTGCAAGGGATATTCCTCGTGGCAGCACTTCAGAGCAAAGTCCAAAATTCACAATAGGGAGACATGCCACGTTGTTCTTCATTGTGATGATGGTGTGAGGGAACGCAACATTGAGCGAACAGAGTACTGTAGGATTAGGTGAAATGACATAATCGCCGTCAGCCACAGGTGGATCAGAAGAGACGTCGATATACGTCACAGCTCGACAAGATAGGCGAACAAAGTCGGCGGAGCATAGCTTTGGCGGCGCAGGATCAGGAGGGTCAACGGCGTGTGGTAGGACGAGCTGAACAACACCAGCAGAACAGTCAATTAGGGCGGAATGTTCCGACAGAAAATCGAGTCCCAATATGATGTCATGTGGGCAGTGGTCCAGTACGTAAAACAGAACAGTGGTATGACGTCCAGCAACAGTGACACGGGCGGCACACATCCCGGTGACCGCTGGTGTTGCACCATCAGCTACTCGGACAAGAGTGATCGGAGCAGGAGTGAGCACTTTCTTGAGGCGAGCACAAAGGCTGGAGTTCATGACTGAGATGTGAGCGCCGGTGTCAATGAGTGCTGCCACAGAAGTACCGTCAACATTTACTTTAATCAAGTTGTTGTGTCCGGGTATCGTGTGTAGAGGAATTTTGAGTCGGGTCGTCGAAGCAGGCTCACCTCTAGGAGCTGCGCCCGTCAGTTTTCCGAGGACTGGTGGTAGGAGGGCGAGGGGGAGCGACGTCGGTTAGTTGAGCGGGACATGCGTCCAGAGGGCGACGGAGAGCGGCTTGGTTGGGCGGACCTGGATGGCGAAGCATCATCTTGTGCCGTGTAGATCGGCATCCGAGAGCCAGCAAGTGGGCGTCGGGTGTTGGGATAATGCGACCATGGCTGCCAACCCCAGGAAGTGCGGCAATGACGTGAAATATGCCCGACTCGTCCACAGTTTAAGCAGATCGGCCTGTCATCGGAAGTTTACCATTCTTCCGGGTTCCGATAACGTGGGCGGTTTTTCGGTCCGCGGGACATATTAGGTGTACTGGGCAGTCAGTAGTCAGGTCGGTTAACGTGGCATAGCATCTGAAGTCCGGCGTTGGCCAGTTCCTGGCGTACGACACTTTTGATCAAAGAAATCGTGGCGCGAGAGTCGCCAGGGGCTTGGACTCGGTCAGACAGAGGAGATGCTGCTTCGATTTCGTGGCGCACGATGCGCACGATATTGTCGGATGCAGCATGGGCTGGTGCCAAACGGGCGTCCTCGCAGGTTGATGTTGCAGCCGTGTTGGGAAGACGCGAAAAGTGCGGAGTGATGCGGCGACTTTTCGCGTCTTCGAAGCGTCGGCATTCATTAATAACGTCATCTACGGTCGATGAGTTTCGATATACGAGGAGATTGAAAGCGTCATCGGCGATTCCTTTGAGGATGTGCGCGACCTTTTCAGATTCCGGCATCTTGTCATCAACCTTCCGGCAGAGGGCGAGCACATGCTGTATGTATGTGACGTACGACTCGGTGCCGGACTGGATTCGGGACGCTAGTTCTTTCTGCGCAGCACGACGACGCCCGATGGGCTTGCCGAAGAGATCGATGAGTTTTTGCTTACAGATGTCCCAACTCGTGATATCTTCCTCGGTTGGAAAACCAAAGTTTAGCTGTACCATCAAGGTACAAAATAATATTGGCCAACATGAGCGTCGGATCCCAGTTGTAAAGAGCGCTCACCCTTTCGTACAGCTGAAGCCATTCCTCCACGTCAGTACTGTCACTGCCCGAAAATGTGCCTGGGTCACGTGGTTGAGTCAGGACGATGGTGCGGTTAGTAGCAGCTGGATGCGGTGCTGTTGGTGGCTGCGTAGTTGGACGAAGCACGCTTGGGGTAGTCTCCGAAGAATCCTCGTGTTCGTCTTGATCAGGCATCGCACAGGCAGCCAAGGAACGTCCGCTGCGTAGAATCGTCGTGGTGTTGACTGTGGGAAGACCCGCACTCTCCACCAAAATGTTACGGGGAGAAGGCGTCTGAAAAATGCCTTTACTTGCGGTAAACAGGCAGGCATACAATATGGAGCCCGGTCTGCACGAGCTCGCGCTAAACATCGTCCTCTTTTCTAGAATGTTCATTTGTGGCGCCCCGTAGCAATATTCTCATCCTTCACTTAACAGAGCAAATGCTGCCGCTTGGCGGCAGCTGCAGACCAATTCATTTCTGTGCTTACGCATGCTAATTTTCATCTAACTATGTACCCCTCCAACTGCCCCTTCTGTGGCTCTGCACCGACAGTATACCACTCTACATGGGGATGCTGTGCTCCACAGGGTTCCTCCCATCGCAAACACCACCCCTTTTCTTGGGAATTTCCACTGCTCAGCTTACATTGGCCAGAACAGCAACAGCTGGTCCAGCGGGCTCGCAGGATCGCGCAAGGCCATGGAGCCCTGGAGTGAGGGCCCCACCCAACAATTGGCTCTTTGTATATACATTCTTCAATAAAGGTTTCTTCTCTCTCTCTCTCTGTTGGCGCTGGAGAGTGAATGTGGTGGCACCGTCGAAAGTGATGTGTTTTTGGTGGTTGGACAGTGAAGTGTAAAGCCATTCCCCCAATTAGGGGTGAGAAAAAGGGTACTCTGGATAAGAAGCCGCAGTGGGTTCCTGCGAGAGCCCTCGACGAGGTCCTCACGATGTAGGACGACATCTTCGTCTAGATGTTCGTCATGTGGTGAAACTCTCGCCTGTGCCACAAACCTGTGTACAGTTTTCCTCGTCAGTCTCTTCACGCTCGGCGGCTTCCTCCCGAGTCTTTTGGGCCAATAACAGCAAAGTCCCAACGACTCAATGACAAATACCAGCAATAGGATAATGGCAAACCCCCGTTTCCAACAAGGCCTGAGTGTCTAATCACGGCCATGACAACGCGGGAAAGGCCGTGGAACATTGCAAGTGTAGAACACACATCAAGTGAGTGCGAGAGCGGATCACGTTTGTGCACGGTGGCCTCCTGCATATGCGTGCACGTGGCGCGTATACGCGGCGTTATGGTCGCTGGAATGTTCCACCAATTGCCAACTATAGTGAACTATGAACTGCAGTGGAGGCAGGGCCACTCCTCAGCACGCACCTGCGTTTACCACGCAAGTAGCACCAAATAGAGTAGGGATGGTTGGCCGGTTGGTTGACCCTTTGCAAGTGGCGAGAGATTGACCATTTAAACAGGCGGTTAATATAGCAAAATGAAAGTTTATAGAAAGAAAACAAATAATCGGTCATATAAAGTTTATATTAGCATAGAAACTTATTATGTATTACCATCAAATTATTTTGAAAAAGCTCAAAAACATGTTTTATTGGTTATAAATTGAAAATACTTTCTTGTCTCTAAAAATTCGCAGACGGCAATGCAGACGTTCCTGTTGCAGTGGTTCAAAGAAGCTTCAAGGGAAAGAATATTTACAGAATTGAAAGTCATTTTAATTTACGCAATAAAATTTTGAAGTACTAATTTTAAGTATAGTGAAACGAGGGCAAATACGAAAAAAGTGATCGATTTTTTTTTAGACTACTGTTACTGGTCACCCGAACTACGATCATCACTTTCTGTTTAGCAGAGTGAAAATTCGGGCGACCTCGATCCTGTTACACCTATATTGCCAGGTATCCTCTTCGGGTGTTGTCGGAGGTATAACGCTACCATAGCCATGGCTTGCCGATCTCTCACTATGGTTAATTCTAGCGGGGAACAAGTTCTTCAATCACTGTTTCACGTCAAAAATTCGCAAGTACGAGCTACTCCTAGAAGCGTTGCTGCTACAGGTAATGGACGAAATGCGGGAACTCCTTGTACAACCGCTTGATGAGACTCTATATACGACACTGAAACAGACTCTTCTTCGCCGCCTCGTTCAGCCTGCACATGGGCGCACCGAACAACACCCGAACACCGAAGAGCTTGGTGACATCCAAATCCTACGTCACCACGCGTGAGAGAAATGCGGCGGGCGACCGAAACCCCCATGAGGGAAATCCCCTCTCCGCCATTCATGTTTCGACACCATTCGCTTGGGAATCATTGGACCTTTTGCCACCATGCCGCAGTTAAGTGTACTTGCTCACGTGCGTAGGCAGGTGCGCAAGGTGGTCTGAGGCTGCTCAAATTCCTGACATAACGGCGGAGACAGTCACTCGTACTTTTTTACCTGGATTAGCCGTTCCGGCATGCCATCAATGGAGACTACAGCTCGGGGCAGACGGTGAGGGTCGGCGCTTTTCACTTCTATGACACCTGTTCCGGGTTGTGCGCGCATTCACACTACTGCTTATCATCCTGCGTCCAATCAGAGAGAGATTGCATAACAAGCAGTTTGGCGCCCTATGCCGCAAGCTGTGGGCCAGAACAAAAAAAGTCCACCGCTATATTATACATACTTTTATTTCCAGTATGTAACATGGTCCGCATTCAGGCATTGCTATATGTACACTAGAGAGCACGACTCCATATTTCTACTTCAAGGGTCTGCCACTAGGTTGCGTGACATACCATTTTTTGTCTGATTTCTCTACTCGAATTGTGAAACGGATGCTTAAATGTGTCGCTCAATCGCGGACTTTCATTCCCACCAGAATCTCATCACACCTTCTGGCAAGCCTACTGTCCCTTTCGGTCCATTCTAGAGGCTTTTTGTCTACTCTGCCCCCAACAAAACCGTTTTTCTTACGCTGACATTAAATTGAACCCAGTTGAATGTCCCAGTGGCAGTGACGTACCCCCAGGAAACGCTCTATAAATGGTAGAAGACCACTAGGAGGAGAAGGAGGAGGAAAGTGGAGGCAAGATTTAAGCAAGCATCCGAAGCCTGGTTTGTCTTGAGGAAGGTGACCCTACCGTCCAGAGCTGTAGTGATTGGTGACGTGGAGTTCATGTATTTCATCACTATTTCGGCATCTTGGAAACCTGCGCAGAACAATAGATGTTGTCATGCCAGTCAGCGAAAACATGACGCACATACTTTGGGAAAAAGGCACAGAGTTGGCGGGCGCGTTGTGTAACGGTTTTTCCATCGAAGGAATGACCCCATACTTTATGCACTTCATTAGAGCCTCACGCTAGGCATGTTCATTATTTGAGGCCTCAAACTGTGATTAAAAATCTGCCGACCACACTCGTCAAACTAAATACTTTCACATCATTGACCAACGTTTCAAACTTCACCGCAAAAATATTCAGCCATAACAAAATGGAAGTCAATGAAAAATGGCCGATTTTCAGTGTTTAGATAGCTCAGTACAAAATCTGCTTCGTCTGTTGCACGTTCTTGTGGCGTAGGAAAAAAAAAAAGGTGCAACTGATTGGAACAGCACGACTACCAAGTCAGTTCTGCTTTCATCTATCAGCCCGACAGTTTGCAGATAGTCTCCTAAAGCCAATATCTGTCAGCCATTACGATGTCTTATCCTAGATAAGTTTCGAGAGCTTAATGGACAGTCTCACTGCTCCAGATAAAAAACTTCTTGATTTGATTATCAGTCAAGGCCCTGTATTTTTAAAAACGCCTTCCGCTGTGAAGACATAAACAAACAACGCTAAACACGGGATGGTGAAGGAATGAAAGACTGGGCACTGAACCAACAGCCTCTGGTTTATTCCTGGGAAATGAAATATAATAAAATATATGCGGAAGCTTTGCGCACAAGACCAACAAATACACAGTAGCAGCGCAGAGATAGGAAATAAGGAATCACTAGAGACCGGATTATAGAAAAATTCTTATTTTGTTTCATGCGTTGCTCTCGGACCACTTTAATACATGAGCGTAAATTGGAGGTCAAGAAGAGCGTTTGTAGTGTTTTTATAGTGCCTATAAATGCCTATTTTTAACGTTGCTGCCTAAATATTTATAACTGCCTGTAAGCGCCTGTTTTCAAAATCGGTGGCTATATCAATGCTAACTAACATCAAATATTGGTTTCGAGTACAGTTGAAGTCTGGTGTTCATGTTAAAGGGCAAAATTGAGCTTTCGGAACACTGTGGGGTGCGACCTATATCTCTATCTTAAAAGTCCCTTTCAGCCCTGTCAGAACCACAGGGCCTCCTATTCAATAGCGAGGCCAGTTAGCTTCTACACATGCATTTATCTGCGTCGCGTCGTCTGTTCGGCATCTCCCGGGCGCCGGCTAGCACGTTAGAGAACAGGAGGTGTTTCTACGCAGCCACAGGACGATGAAGAACGAATGTGAAACCGTGACGTCTCATCGGGGGAAAGTAGAGTGTCGATAAAAAAAAGGGTGTCAAGGTGGTTTTTGTTTTGTTTGTCATTTACTTTTTAAACGGCGCTTCACTAGAATCATGAAAATTTTACTTAACACTGGAAGTTGTTGAGTGCCCAAAGAAAAGCTTTGTGTCCCTAAAATAGATTATTAGCGCATTACAAGCCGCGAAAGCATGATGCGAGGAGGTGAGCTTGAAACCTTTTCCACCCGCCCGGTGTAGACTTCGCAAGCCAAATTCCTTACATGTCCTCTTCGGTAACGAAGCAACTCGGAGCCGGGACATCAGAACCCGCAGACGCACCACGCTCACGCAAGCATACATTCGCTTGACATGCCCTTGTCAGGTCGTGCACACAAGCGTTGCTGTGTCGTTTCAACTTTCTCTGTACTGTACTGCCTGTTTCTTCGGGATGTATCCCTGTATGCACGAACGTTTGGAGAGGCTGGCATTGATCATGTATCCTTACCACGATACACAGCGTCGCACCGCAGGAACTGTCCTAAGGGCAGTGCACTAAAAACACGCGAAGCGTTGTGAATGCTGGCACCGGCACCATGCGAGAACGGCGAAAACAGCGACGGAAATGAAATGGAGGCAGCTTAGTGTCGCATCTCACTCGATACAAAGTAAAAAAAAAAAAACGCGCAGATATTCCGTTTGCATGTTTTAATGCTTTTATTCATACTTTTTTTCAGGCAACAGATTGCACAAACTACAGATGTCGCAGTGTCACGTACTATTTTGACGTACACAGGATCATTTCTTGTTGAACACGTACACGTAACCTCCACCATATTGGGGCATGTGCCCGTGAGATGAAAGTCAAGTGGCATTCAGTCTGACATTTTACTCCTTTCTGGGGTGCATAGCATTGCAAATCTTAGTTGATGGTATCGTGAGTGTCTAGTAGATGCATTCCTCTTACTTGCTTGAAATTTTCAGCCCTGCTGAAGGACCCTTTAAGGTGTTTTAGAGACAGAAGGCATATTGATACCGTGTTATTAGACCAGGCAAGACGAGGCTACAGCCCTCTTCTGTCCTATTAGCGGTCTGGCTATCTGCTCCTGTGCTGTTCTTTTCAGCCATGCCAGAAAAAAAGAGACCCAGGAGCTCGTTTATTCGACGGTGGAAACTTAACTTACCACGCCGGACAATAAAATGAGAGACAATGTTCTGCGTGCTATAAAAAAAAATGATTGGCTTCGCTAAAAAAGTGGCGTCTGTCTACCAACACAAACAAACCATTTCTGTTTGATTTTCTGTCGTAGAGACTGATCCCACTTGTATTTCTTCAAAAATTTCAATTTTGTCGAAAGTCATTGTGCCTGTAGTTACAATTCTGGGGCTAAAACAGTATTTTTTTCACCTATTTTTGGTGCTAAAACCCATTTTTAGCGCCTATAAATCCAGCCTCTAGTTATCAGGTTACGCACATCGGCAAAAGTGTCTCGCTTTTAACGAGTAACTGATTTTACACTGGTGGAGGGAAATCGACGCTGCACTGACGCTATCGTTTCCGTGTGTATGAATATGGTGAGCTTGGCTCATCTCACGGGCTCTTTACTCTCCATAAGTTTCCGAAATGGTGCATTGCTCAAGTATTGGCTGACAACCATGTGCCTTTAGGTGCTGACCTGAGTGACTGCTCTGGGCCCAGTCAGTTGTTGGTTTAGTGCCCACAGCGGTAAGTCGCTTTAATAATAATAATAATAATAATAATAATAATAATAATAATAATAATAATAATAATAATAATAATAATAATAATAATAATAATAATAATAATAATAATAATAATAATAATAATAATAATAATAATAATAATAATAATAATAATAATAATAATAATGTTATTATTATCTTTCAGTTCAATTCTTTTCCAAATAGTATGTTGGCGCCAGTCGGTAAATAAAATATACCACCCCTGTGCAACGAGAGCGGTATCACCAAGTCGAAAAAAAAAGTGAAACCTAAAGTTAGAGAGCTGGGCAACTAGTGGTGATGCAGAATCTACAACATCATGTTACAATAAACATGTTTTACGACATAGACACGCGCAGCTCATTGCTGTTTTAGTAAACGTCTCCAAGTACACTTGCGTGCACATGCAGGAGAAACTCGATGCACACTATCGGCTGTTCAATTCCACAAAGTTTTTATTTTCGAAGAAGCTTCGCACAGAATACAAAGAACGCACAGATAAAGCACGAACACAAGTATTCGAGCAAACACAAGGATACGATGCGACAGCGTCATGTGACCACAAAATCTGCTTTCGTTTAAGTATGCTGTAAGGGTGGCTTCTGTTCGTGCCAGATCTGGTTGTCAAAGCAGTGATCCGGGATAGTTGGTTTGGCTCACTTGCACTAGTACTCGTAGTGTGGCATTGATGGTGCAGGCAGGAGTGCTTGCGAAAGAAGGAAAAGTGTCGTTGCTGCTTGCGCTTGCTCCGCTTGACAGCCGGTTGGTTTTATCTCTGCGTTTTCCCCAATAAACGTGTCTTGGGCTCACTGCTAAAGGCTCAATAACAAGTGGTGGAGAGTGCTGGATCCCTTTCCCATCCTGGAACTCCGCAACCGAGCTCCACCGTGGCCATCAACGATGTCCACCAACATAGAATAGCAGACCGCTCCTACATTCTCACCTGTCCACTGTCCCGGCATCCAAAGAGAGCGATATCCGGTAATCTTCAGCGGCACTGATGAGCAGGACGTCGAAGACTGGCTCTCTTCGCACGAGTGACGAAGCGTCAAGAATAAGTGGGACGAAAACGACAAACTTGGCCGCGTCCACTTTTACCTCAGAGGAGTAGTAGAGCTCTGGTTCGACAACCACGAAGCTGAGAATGCCGACTGGGCCACTTTCAAGACCACCTTCGCGAACGTGTTTGGCCGACCGACAGTGCGCCAGCTCCGTGCAGAACAGCGCTTGCGCGATCGCGCCTAACTGTTGGGGGATGCTTTCATTGAGGACGTCGTAGGCGTCTGCCGTCGCTTCAATCCTGACATGTCGGAAACCGCCAAGGTCACACATAATATGAAGGGCATCGAGGACTATGCCATACACACGCTGGTGGCGAATGACCCGCAAACCGCAAACAGTTACGAAAGTTATCCAGCACTGCCAAAATTACGATGAGATGCGAAAACAGTGCATTTATATGTGACGCCCTACTTTCGACACGACCAGCACGTCAGCATGGCCGTAGGTGCAATTTCTCTAGAACAGGCGGTATTGACGCCGCAAATCCAACAATTCATCCGAGAGGAAGTGGCACGCCAGCTGTCCCCTGAGCAGTACTCACGGGCAGACCTCGTTGCTGCGCCAAACCATCAACGATCAAGTCTGCGAGGCACTTCCGCTCACGTTACAGCCACCGCCTGTGTCCGCTCCCCTGACCTACGCTGACGTCACGAAGGCAGGTACATTCGCCGTTGAACGTTGTCGATTCTGCCCAACAAACGAACGCTTTCTACGCAACACGCGCGTTCCGTACCCGCAGGCTTGCGTGTTCCTCTTTAGCCCCGTTCTTCAACGCTTCCAAACAACCCTTGGCGCACATCGGATAACAGACCCATCTGTTACTACTGTCATCTGCCCGGTCATGTTGAGCGGTTCTGTCGCCGGCACGTCCATCATAGAGGTACCATAAATGAAACCTTCGGCTACGCCTACACAGAAC